CGGGCTTTATATCATCCGCAAGCAGAGGAGTTCGTTTCAGCTTCTGACAGTTGTTCATCAACAATCATCTTTGCAGCAAAGCCTCGTTTCATAATCCATCAATATTTTTTTACGGGTATAGTCTAAAAGTGTCACCTGACCTTACAACCCAGTAGTATCTTGTGATATTATCAAACTTATTTTCCCCAAATCCAATTGCTCTACTCCGATGTTTGAATGTAATTGTATTCCAGAAAAGAGCACACCTTGTAACTAATAGACTGTTCTTACATATACTCGTGGGTGCCTCCAAGAAAAAAAAAAATTCGTGCGCAAGTCGTTTTAAAAAAAAAACAACCACAAGCTGCATAAAAATAAATCGATTAAAAAGAGGCAAGTACAATAAAATGAGCGTCATTTAATTGAGTACTAAACATGGCCTCTGAAAAAATGTATTTGCAAAAAGTCATTACAAAGAATCAAACGCCGAAGTGTGTCAGTATTTTTCCCGCAATCCAACTATGAGAGGGTGTCTGTAGCTCAAAATTCGTTTTCACCCCTACTTTCATATTTTGTAGCCCAAAATGTCTTAACAATTGTGGTGCAACATTTTTTGTGAAAATATATTTCAGTTTTCGAGAAATGACTTTTCTCGTTCGATCGCTAAAATATGCAAATTTTTACTGTAAATATTACCCGAGTTGTGTGACCTCGTGTCATGAATATGCTTGACCTCCGGTATTTCTGTCAAAATAATCCTTTCTTTTATCATCTAAGCTTAATCCCATGTCATTGCTGAAGCTGGCGTTACCCATCCACAGATTTTTGCTGAACTGTATAACGGTTCTTCCTTTTCCGAGTGGCTGTAGAATCCGTGTTCCTTAGTGCCAACCGATTTTCGAGTCTCCTCGATTAACTGTGATTGCGTAGGAAAATGAAATTCAAGTTTTATTTTCGCTTTTCTTCTTTCATACTTTTCCCATGTCGAAAAGTAGCACAACAGAATCTACTGAGCTTCTAGCTTTTAAAAGACAAAAGGATGGTTATAAAGTCACTGTAAATATTTAATTGTGTATTTGTGTTGTTCCATCTTGAGACGAACTCAAAGTCCGGCAAAATTTACTTGCCAGCGACTATGAAATATACATGATGTGCCTACTTGTCGCCACCGTTTACTGTCATAAATTACTACAGTAACATTATAACCATCCTTTTGTCTTTTAAAAGCTTGAAGCTCAGTAGATTCTGCTTTTTCTAAATAACTCGACGGCTCGAATGTTACATTTACTATTATTATTTTTTTCCTGTTTTGCTTTTGTTTTAAATGGCTTGTTCAGGTACTAAACTTTAATTTATTGAAAAAAATCGCCGATGCAAAGTCATTCACAACGAGATTCAGAAAAAGTTTTTGTTACAACATTTTTGTTTGGGACTACTTTCATATTCCATTTTACATCATATCTTACACTTTTCTGTTCGTAAAACTTTCTTTACATTTATGGACGCAAGAATGCTCTCTCTAAAAGCAAAGCAATTTATCTGGTTCAATGTTGTACACATTTCTCATTTCCTAAATATTCCAGCCACCCCTCAGAAACTTAAAAAAAAATTTTACACCCAAGAGGCTTGGAAAAAGGACACAATGGAAACAAACCTAATTTAAGCGCTCGAAAATGAGGGATATCAGCCCGGAGGAAAAGCTTTTTCCCCATTGCTCGGTTTTGCTTCCCATCACAAGCGTTATCGGAATTATTATTTGTGACCCTCTACGATTTCAGGGAATAACGTGAACGCACGCGCACGGCACGTTATAACACGCTCCCGCGCCAATAGCATAACACGCTTACCGTGCAGATATGCACATAAAAACAATTGATTCTGGAAAGTGTGTTGGTAGCCATTTATCATATCTGGCCAGCGCGGTAGAGCTTTGAATCTATAACTCGCTAGATTTCTTTTTTTTAACCCGCTAAGTTCCTTTGTTTCCTTAACACGCTACCTTATCCTTTATAACCTAGCTCAATTTGTCACTTGTGTTTGTCAAGTATGTTACTAACAGAATATAAGCGAAAATGAAGATCTCCTGTCCTATTCGAAAGTTGTAATAAAAAAGGAAACACTCACGACAAATCACTTTCCCTCAGGATTTTCACGAGGAATTCAGTGAGCACGACGTGTTTCACAAGGTCCAGAGGAGCTCAGTTTGAACACATGAATTACTGTTTTAAAAGTTAATCCTTACCGCGTAAAATATAAATCCTTATCGCTTTACGCAGTTAATAAGCACTATCAATCCTTTAGCAACAGATTACCGGTTCTATGTTCCCTTAACGACGGTATTGCTGTTTGTCACTCTATGCAAGTCGGCATTTTTAATATAATTAACCACTAGTTAGCCAGCGCAAAACGAGGCTTTCCGAGCGAAGCCGCGTATTATTCATTATTATATACATACCGAGATTTACACGCCAAAATTCATCGAGACAAAAATAGTTTCTTCGCGCTAGAGACGCCAACTGATTGGTCATACGATTATCATTATTTTCACTAGTGAAAAAAACCGTGTCGCTTGCTCGCCCCTCCTCTTGACCGACAAATTGCACATTCTAAGAGCTTAGGTGCATTTTTTTTAAGAAAGATGGCTTCGATCAGACTAACCGTTTTCAGAGCCTAGATTTATCAAAAGAAGAGTTCATAGATGGACAGAAAATGAAAACACTAAGTAAAAGACTAAACAATATGTTGCTCTGTCCCATGAATTTCTTGTTTTGAAAGGCAAGATGAGGCAAATGAACGAATGACCCCTCAAGCGCTGAACAAGTTTAGTTCCTTCTAACGGTTCGCAAAAAAGAAGACAACAAGGAATACGAGCCTAGTTCCTTAAGAGCATTCTTCGCTAGTTTTTAGCGCCATTTGAAGAAAAAAACTACGCACTTTGCCTTATGAAAGACGAAAAACACCAAAACAAAAAAAAACGATGTTGCTCGGTTCCATGAATTTCTTGTTTTGAAAGGCAAGACGAGACGAATGGACAAATGACCCCTTAAGCGCTGAACAAGTTTCTCAGCGAGTTCCTTATAACGGTTCGCAAAAAAGAACACAACGAGGAATACAAGCCTAATTCCCTAAGGACTTCCTTCGCCAGTTTTCAACGCCGTTCGAAGAAAAAATAAACTATGGACTTTGCCTTATGAAAAACATCCAGTCCGAGCAAACTCGGAAAGCGCTTCAATCAAAGCAAAGGGATCTAAAACGGAAAGGCATGGGTAACAAGCCTAATGCTTCTACTCCTTTAAGTGAGGAAGATATTCAAGTTCTGTTTGAGAAGGATCTCTTGGGAAGTTCCACGGCGGAAGCGCTTTTAAACACGGTATTGTTCAACAACATAATCCATTTCGGGTTACTAGGCTGCAAGGAGCACAGACAAATGTGTTGGGGAGACGTAAAACTTTGTCGAAACTTCCACAGGGCAAGAGTACCTCGAATTCAATGAAAGAGAAGCCAAAACTCGTTCAAGAAACGATCCACGGAATGTAAGAGCCATTGCACTGAAAATGTTTGCTGTGCCGAACAACCCAAAATGTCCAGTTAATGCTTACAAAGTCTACGCAGAAAGCGACCCGTGGAAATGAAAACTGACGATGCACCTTTTTACTTTGGCAGTAAATAATGTAAAATCTTGAAACAACGTCATGCTGCCAACTGATATTATGCAACTGTCAGGACACAAAAACGTTCAAAGTATCACTCGGTACTCTACCGTCTCACAGAAACAACAGTTGAATATGAGTCCCACTATCACTGGAATGAGTTCGGGAGAAATAGATCCCCAGTCTGGCTCTTCTATTCCGGAGAAAAGAAAGCATGAGTTTGACGAACTCACTTATCCAACATTTCGTCCGACGTTTTCTCAGCAAAGCAAGCAAGCAGCACAGCAGACCCTTTCTCTTTTTTGGGGTGCTATTATGAGCGGAGGACATATAGGTGTGGCAATAAACACTTTAAATCAATCGCCCACACTTTCAGTATGAGAGGAAAACCCTAGCAGAACTTATAAAAGAATCAAACCTCTTGATTCGGATTCTTACTTGTGTTTGTCGATCCAAGCATGCGGGTTCTGATAAGCAACAAAAATAAAGTCTCGGGTTTTTCGACATATTTTCAGGATGTCTTATTTTATTCTAACTAGCTCTGCCTTTTAATGGCATTTTTGCTCGATAATTTAAATGTAAAGTATTTTACAAAGAAGCCATTTCAGTGCAACTCTCGAACTGTGAGGCGGCTTGACCTTTGAAAGAAAATAAAGATATGTTTATCTTTGAGTTCCGTTCGCTTATGAATCCAGGTAGGTATATAATAAATAGGTTATTTCACGGTTAGTTCACTTGTACGAATTTTATTCACTCCTTGTCAATAAAAATCGTACGCGCTCACCAACCGTGAAACAACCTACAATTGTACGCCGATCTTGGCATCTTACGAGCTCCTCGTCTTAAGCACTGCGGTATACACCTTGCGCAACGCAAATTTAACGCGAGGATAATTAAAATTAACATGGTCAAAGGTACTAACGAGTCTTTTTTAGCTCGCAAACTCAGCGAACTTAAAATTTCAAACTCCTCTGGACCCTGTGCGTGTATTCACTTGCTTTTGGTTTCCATAGCTAGGTCATTTACACTACATGTTTACAAAGGAATAAGCTTGATGATGATTCGGACTTCCCAACTTTGGATTCCGAACCAGTCGCATCTCTTGTGAGTTTTAATAGCAGCCCCACTGTCCAGACTTATCAAGACACAGCCAAATCAAGTAAAGAACCCACTGAGTCTTAGCGTTCCGTCTAGCGTACACTCCGTCAAATCCGCTAAGAAAGCCTGTCGCCCGTGTTTCCTGCCCAGATTGTTCCAACGAGATCACCTCTGCAGCCTGTTGACTAGAGCTTCACCCATTCGTGTCACGCAGCCACCGTCCAACGGATGCGCAGCAAAACAAAGTAACTACAATTGTAGCGAAGGGAACTGATGTCTACTGCCGCCCTTGCTTTTGTTGATGTTCTCTTTACGGACGACGAGATGGCAAGGTACAACACGTCAGGAACTAAGGTTTCCACCGGTTGGACAGCGGAAAATTAGGCTTTCTTGTGTCCGTTTTACAAAGAAATTTGACTCGCGATTTTTTAGTGAACAATGGAATCAGATAGCCGCTCGCATTAATACGAAATGTTGAGGAGAGAGGAGGACTCTTATTCATAGACTTAAGAAAACTAGTTTGTTTTGAAAACACAAAGATGGCACAATTAGTCTATCATTTCCCACAAAAAATTATGGGTCGGTGAATTGAACAGAATTAGCCATTGTTCAAAAAAACTGCTTTCTAAGTTATTTTAAATTCGGCTAATTTTAGCATAGAAACTTTACTAATTATGGGGGGCCTAAAGAAGGCATAAAACGCAGACCAGAAAATCATCCATCTGCCCAGAATAATGCATTTACAGACAGGTTAGGTGGCGACAGTCAAAGGAATAAAGTTTGGCAAATAGACTGTCAGTTAATAAAAAAAAGTACATTAGATATTTAATAATTTTGTTCACTCCTTCAGTTTTTACAGTAACTTTATAACCATGCTTTTGTTTTTAAAATCTGGAAGCTCAGTAGATTCTGTCATATCGGTCATTGTTAAAACTGTCTTTGTTTTGATGCTACTATTCGACATGGAAAAAGTTTGTCGGACAAAAGTAGTCACCAAAACCTAAATATTTCTTTGCCAGCTTCAGTATTGACAGGGGATTAAGTTTAGATGATAAAACAAAAGATTTTGTTGACAGAAATACCGAAGGTCAAGTAAATTCGTTACATGAGGTCACACAACTCGGGTAATAGTCACGGTGTAAATTTGCATATTTGCAATATTTTTATTTGCAATATTTTAAAAAATTCAAACTAAAAAAATTATTTCTCGAAAACTAAATCATATTTTCACAAAAATCCTACACCAAAACTATTAGGACATATTGGGCTACCAAACATGAAAGTAGGAGTGAAATAAACTTTTGGGTGACTTGCCGCTGTTTGTCTGATGCACCTTGACATTAGCTCTTAATTTTCTTTAAATTGAGCTGCCAAGTTCAAGCACCGAAACATTTACAAACCAGTTGCGTTTCGAGGCTGTCGATAGAATACTTGCGGCAAAAAATAAAAAAAAAGGCCAACATCGTTTTTTTCCTTCAATGTTCTAGCAACGTTCGGACCAAATCTCGCAGATTCCGTCAATTCTATATTTGAACAGCAGAGAGCTTTTTCTGTGTTTATATATTCTCATCTAAACAATAAGAAAAGCTGGGAGGATTCAAGAAAGGTATGCAAACGTTAGACACAATTAAGGGTTTGCATAGCTCTAGAAAGTATCAAAAAAAAGTCTCGCGGATTCCGTTAATTCTATATTTAAACGGCATAGAGTTTTTCCTGTGTTTATATATTTTCATCTAAACACGAAGGGAAGCTGGGAGAATTCAAGAAAGTTATGCAAACGTCAGACACAATTAAGAGTTTGCATAGCTTTAGAAAGTATCCAAAAAAATTATTGCCTATTCATGTTACTTGTTTATTTTCTGTAACGAACTTATCCAAGATTTAGAATCAGGCGCGAGTGGACGAACTCCCTTCTCCTGGCATGGAAGATGTAACCCTCCAGTGGCTACCTAACCTTCCACCCCGCCCCTTCCTTCCACCCTAATGCTCGGAGGCTAGTTAGTCTTAGAACTAATGGCCTGAGTGGATACATCATAAATTTTGTCTGATTGATGACTAAAAAGCCTAGCCTTAGCTATTGATATTTTTTAAAACAATAATACACTTTGTGACTTTGGTGAATATGTTTGATCCTTGCATTGTTGTAACTGTTACAATTATCCTTGCAAGTCTTTCGTTTTCCCTGCTCATCGTCCCTGTACATTGCCCGCATGTTTAAAGTTAGAGAGAATAGTCTTCAATTTTGACTTACAGCTCTCTTAATTCGATATTGTTCATAAATATGTCTTTTGGCAAATTCTCCAACTGGTTGTTATCCAAGTACCTGTCAACAAATGACGATAGTTAGTGTTCAGGCGCATTACTGATATAAACGTATTATCATTATCATCAATATCTTCAAGTGACAAGAAATGTTTTTGGTAAGAGCCTATGTTGCTCATAGTACAGCAACGTATTTATATTTTCAGGTAAATCTGTCAACTCCATTATCAAGTTTCGCTTATCAGGCGCGAATGTCTTCCAAGACATCCATCCATAAGTAACACATTCGTCAATCTATTATTTTCCACTGAAAAGATTTCAATGTCGACATGGGAAACAACATGATATTCGAGTTTCTTAAATGGGTTTTTCCTTACCATTATAAAATGAGGGGAAAATACAAACAATAGTTTATGCAAAGAGCATTTGAAATAGCTTAGACAATTTTCGTAATTTTGCCCTTTTTGTGATTGAATTCGAAAATGTCAATCAATCAGTCAATCGAACTCCACAAAGCCTATTAAGAGAGCGCAAGCGCTACCACTGCACCACACGCTTGCTTCTTTGCTTGATTTATCTCGTTGCTTTTAGCCCATGCTCCTACAAAATGCCTTGAATCCACAGCAAGAAAGAAAAGATTGCTATTTCTTTTGTCTTTGCTCAGTAACCGGGCTTTATGTCATCCGCAAGCGGAGGAGCTTGTTCCAGCTTCTGACAGTTGTTCATCTGCTGTTATTTCCTCTCGTGAGACGAAGGAGTCAAGTGCAATTAAATTCGTTTTCACTACTACTTTCATAGTTTGTAGCCCAATATGTCCTGATAATTGTGGTGCAGTTTTTTTAGTGAAAATATATTTTAGTTTTCGAGAAATGACTTTTCTCGTTCGACCGCTCAAATATGCAAATTTTCACCGTGAATATTACCCGAGTTGTCATGTATTTACTTTACCTTCGGTATTTCTGTCAACATAATCCTTTGTTTTATCCTCAAAAATTAATCCTTTATCATTGCTGAAGCTGGCAAAGAAATATCTATTTTTTGGTAAATAATTTTGTCCGACATACTTTCAAATGTCGAAAAGTAGCTCAAAACAAAGACAGTTTTAACAATGACCGACATGACAGAATCTACTGAGCTTATAGCTTTTAAAAGACAAAAGGATGGTTATAAAGTTACTGTAAATATTTACTTGTATATTTGTGTCGTTCCATCTTGAGACGAACTCAAAGTCCGGCAAAACTTACATGCTAGCGACTATGAAATACACGTGGTGTGCGTACTGGTCGCCACCTTTTACTGTCATAAATTACTAGAGTAACTTTATAACCGTCCTTTTGTCTTTTAAAAGCTTGAAGCTCAGTAGATTCTGTTTTTTCTTCATAACTCGACTGCATATTACAGTAACTATTATTATTTTTTTCCTTTTTTGCTTTTGTTTTAAATGGCTTGTTCAGGTAATAAACTTAAATTTATTGAAAAAAAATCGCCGATGCAAAGTCATTCACAACGAGATTCAGAGAAACTTTTTGTTATAAAATTTTTGTTTGAGGCTACTTTCATATTCCATTTTACATCATATCTTACACTTTTCTGTTCATAAAACTTTCTTTACATTTATGAACGAAAGAATCCTCTCTCTAACAAACAAAGCAATTTATCTGGTTCAATGTTGTACACATTTCTCATCCCCTAAATATTCCAGCCACCCCTCAGAGACTTTAAAAAAATTCTACACCCAAAAGGCTTGGAAAAAGAACACAATGGAAACAAACCCAATTTAAGCGCTCGAAATAATGGATATCAGCACAGAGAAAAACTTTTTTCCCCATTGCCTGGTTTTGTTTCCTATCACAAATCAGTATCGGAATGATTATTTGTGACACTCCACGGATTTCAGGGAATAAGGTGAACGCACGCACACGGCACGTTATAACACGCTCGAAAAAAAAACTATGGACTATGCCTTATGACGAAAAACACCAAAAAAAACCAAACAAAAAAAACACGACGTTGCTCTGTTCCATGAATTTCTTGTTTTGAAAGGCAAGACGAGACGAATGGACGAATGACTCCGAAAGCTGAACAAGTTTCTCAGCGAGTTCCTTATAACGGTTCGCAAAAAAGAACACAACGAGGAATACGAGCCTAATTCCCTAAGGACTTTCTTCGCCAGTTTTCAGCGCCATTCGAAGAAAAATATACTATGGACTTTGCCTTATGAAAAACGTCCAGTTCGAGCAAACTCGGAAAGCGCTTAAGTCAAAGCAAAGGGATCTAAAACGGAAAGGTATGGGCAACGAGTCTAATGCTTCTGCTGCTTTAAGTGAGGAAGATATTCAAGTTCTGTTTGAATGAGTTTGAGAGAAATTCGTCCAACTTTTTCTCAGCAAAGCAAGCAAGCAGCACAGCAGCCCGTTTCTCTTTTTTTCGGGTGCTGTTCTAAGCGGAGGACATATAGGTGTGGCAATAAACACTTTAAATCAATCGCCCACACTTTCAGTGTGAGAGGAAAACCCTAGCAAAACTTACAAAAGAATCAAACCTCTTGATTCGGATTCTTACTGGTGTTTGTCAATTCAAGCATGCGGGTCCTCATAAGCAACAAAAAATGAAGTCTCGGGTTTTTCGACATATTTTCAGGATGTCTTATTTCATTCTTACTAGCTCTGCCTTTTAACGGCATTTTTGCTCGATAATTTAAATGTAAAGTATTTTACAAAGAAGCCATTTCAGTGCAACTCTCGAACTGTGAGGGCTTGACCGCGCGTTGTTTTCCTTTGAAAGAAAATAAAGATATGTTTATCTTTGAGTTCTGTTCGCTTATAAATCCAGGAACGTATATGATAAATAAGTTAATTCACGGTTGGTTCACTTGTGCGAATTTTATTCACTCGTTGTGAATAAAAATCGTACGCGCTCACCAGCCGTGAAACAACCTACAATTGTACGCTAATCTTGGCATCTTACGAGCTCTTCGTCTTTAGCACTGCGGTATATACCTTGCGCAACGCAGATTTAACGTGAGGATAATTAAAATTAACATGGCCGAAGGTACTAACGATTTTTTTAGCTCGCAAACTCAGCGAACTTAAATTTTCAAACTCCTCTGGACCCTGTGCGTGTATTCACTTGCTTTTGGTTTCCATAGTTAGGTCATTTACACTACAATATGTTTACACGCGCAAAGGAACAAGCAAACGCTTCGTAGTCGTTCATTACCAAGTTTCAAAATGCAATTACTCATTCTTACGAGATGGTAAGGTGCAACACGTCGAGAACTAAAGGTTTCCACCGGTTGGACAGCGGAAAATTAGGCTTTCTTGTGCCCGTTTTACAAAGAAAGTTTGACTCGCCATTTTTTAGTAAGCAATGGAATCAGATAGCCGCTCGCATTAATACAAAGTGTAGAGGAAAGAGAAGGACTCTTATTCACAGACTTGAGAAAACTTGGTTTGAAAACACAAAGATGGCACAATTAGTCTATCATTTCACACAAAAAATTATGGGTAAGTTAATTGAACAGAGTTAGCCATTGTTCAACAAAACTGCCTTCTAAGTTATTTTAAATGTGGCTAATCTTAGCATGTAAACTTTACTAATTATGGGGAGCCTAAAGGGGTCATAAAACGCAGACTAGAAAATCATCTATCTGCCCAGAATAATGCATTAACAAACAGGTTAGGTGACGACAGTCAAAGAAATAGGAATAAAAGGAATAAAGTTTGGTAAATAGACTGTCAGTTAATAAAAAAAAAGTATATTATATATTTAATGATTTTGTTCACTCCTTCAGTTTTTACAGTAACTTTATAACCATGCTTTTGTGTTTTAAATCTGGAAACTCAGTAGATTCTGTCATATCGGTCATTGTTAAAACTGTCTTTGTTTTGATGCTACTTTTCGACATGGGAAAAGTATGTCGGACAAAAATATTCACCAAAACCTAATTAATTCTTTGCCAGCTTCAGTAATGACAGAGGATTAAGTTTAGATGATAAAACAAAGGATTATGTTGACAGAAATACCGAAGGTCAAGTAAATTCGTAATATTCATGGTGAAAATTTGCGTATTTGAGCGGTAAAACTAAAAAAATTATTTCTCGAAAAATAAAACATATTTCCACAGAAAAACCTACACCACAATCATTAGGACATATTGGGCTACCAAACATGAAAGTAGGAGTGAAAGCAAATTTTGGGTGACTTGCCGCTGTTTGTCTGATGCACGTTGACATTAGCTCTTAATTTTCTTTAAATTGAGCTGCCGAGTTTAAGCACCGAAACATTTGCAAACCAGATGCGTTCCTAGGCTGTCAATAGAATATTTGCGGCGAAAAAGAAAAAAAAAGGCCAACATCGTTTTTTTTTCCTTCATTGTTCTAGCAACGTTCGGACCAAATCTCGTGGATTCCGTCAATTCTATATTTGAACGGCAGAGAGCTTTTTCTGTGTTTATATATTCTCATCTAAACACGAAGGGAAGCTGGGAGAATCCAAGAAGGTTATGCAAACGTTAGACACAATTAAGGCTTTGCATAGCTTTACGGACATCCATCCGTAAGTAACACATTCGTCAATCTATTATTTTCCACAGGAAAGATTTCAATGTCGGCATGGGAAACAACATGATATTCGAGTTTCTTAAATGGGCTTTTCCTTACCATTATAAAATAGGGTGAAAACACAAACAATAGTTTATGCAAAGAGCATTTGAAATAGCTTAGACAATTTTCGTGATTTTGCCCTTTTTGTGATTGAATTCGAAAAGTTCAATCCGAAGTTCCCTGTGATGTATGTAGTGAACGATTTTTCCTGAACCGAGCGATTTGATAAAATATCCTTGGTCAAGTGTTGGTTCGGCCTTATCAAAAGCGATAGTCCATAAAAAAGAAGCCAGATCGAAAAGCTGCGGACAGACAGGCCCACTGATTTGGCTCAAATTTTACATATAAACTTGGTTTTGATCATGAAAGAGATATTTTAAGATTGAAATCTATTTTTGTAAAAAATTGCGGCTCAAGGCCATTTGGAGACCCTCAAGAATATGGAAACGAGGCTGGTTAAGAGAAACTTTTCAATGCCTGGGCTTCCTTTGCTTTCTCATTTTTGTGTCTTCTTTATTATTATAATTATTATTTCTATCATAAAACAAGTGTACAATTCTTCCTCTTTGGTTCGAATAGTAAATTTCGTAGGAAAAAAAAAATGAAGTGGTTGAACGCGCTATTCAATTTACTCAGTTTTAGTTGTCTTAATATTCCTGAAAAACACCGTAAATTCAGAAGCTTGTAGTACTGTTCATATGTCGAGTTAGAACAATTTGATAGTTTCTAAAACATCAGCTGTCACAGATTATTTGCTACTGTGAGTTCAGGGCAGGGCAACTTCAATGCGCTGCCACATCTCCCAGTAGAATATGGTTTCTGGAGCTTTAAGTCGCAGTCTCTCTAGAAGCGGACCGGTGCATTTCGGTTTAAAACAATTGATCTCTCTCAAACTATTCCCATGAATCGGTCTTAGTCTAAAAGAATACGAAGCAACCTTGATTTCCCGAAATAATGAAAACTAAATTTTTCCCGTGCGAAAATCCGTTCTGCGCTCGAAGGCCTACTTTTTGATTAACTATCATAAATGGCTCGTTTTTTCACAAAATTCTTGTTTAAAGAACTTTTTCGCTTCGCATATTTAGATCGATCATTTATAAGAACAAATCACGTAATTTTTTTTTTATTTTTAAGTGGTTTTTGACACCGAAAATTATTTTTTCGCTTAGCATCTATTTCCCTCTGCTGCCATGACCGTAAACATGCAACTTTCAATCTCGCCTCTGCTTAAAAGTCCAACTTGTTCCCGATGACATTTTTATTCAGAATAATTAAAATAAGAGAGAGGGGTATGTAAATTCGAAAATATATTGTGATTTCGGTTAAGTTTTTTTAGCAGAGCGGGCTCATTTTTGAAAATTACAAGCAACACTGCACAAAGAGCGGACTTAACTATATATCAAATTTACGTATACAACTTATGGTGGATGCCTGAATTGAGCACTTTGAAGCTTCTTTATGCTTGTTGATGCCATAAAACAGCATTTAGAAGGGAAAATTCTCAATTCCATCCGCCGAAAGTTGACTCTTCTTTCGTACAAAGTAGTGAGTTTTTAATATGCAAATTAAGGTCGAAGAGAAGGGTCTCCTCTGATCACGCTGGTATGTAAAATATTTCAGCTGAAGTTTCCATATTTTGTCTGTGAACTAACTGAATACATCTTGTAACTTGTAGCAAGATAGAGTTCCCAGAACTACATTGTTGTAGTCGCTGCGCGCTGGACAAAATCTTCGACATTTTACACTTTCGATCGCCGTTCACAAGGGGGGTTTGGTCAAAAATCATTTTTGACTTGTGGCGACGCAAAAAGAGAGAATTGGAGAACAACTAGAGTATTCTTGAAACATGCGTACTAAACCCTTTTCATGGGAAAAAAAGAAAAGAAAACTTTTTTCTAACGGGAAATCGAGAGGACCGCTCTTAGTGAGAGCGGCACTTAAAATCATCTCTTTGTGCTATATTATCTCACTGGTCAGTCGAATATACTTCCAGTACGTTTCGATGGTAGGGTAAGGTTAAAACCAAGGGAAAAATTAAACATGTTCTAGCTCCGCAAATCATTGAAAGTTGGGCAAACCACGATCCTTTGTCGCGCTCGACTGTGTATTCCTTCCTTTCAGACAGGTTTTGTGCCTTTCGGTTCTGGATTTGCATTGGATTTTATCCAAGCCATTTGTTTCCTTTCTTCTTATTTTACGTGAAAGTCTTGTTTAAGTAGTCAACTTCAATTTGTTGGGGAAAATCACCCATGCAAAATCTTTCATAACGGAATTCAGAAAAAAGTTTTTGTTAAAAGTTTTGTATGAGGCTACTTTCACATTCTATTTCATAATAAATCTTACACTTTTCTAAACATAAACCATTCTTTACATTCTTTACATTTATAACCTCAAAATCTCTCTAAAAGAAACAATCTCTTTGATTCAATGCTGTACACACTTATCATCTACTGAATATTCCTGCCGCCCCTAACAAATTTGAAAAAATATATTACACCCAAAAGGCTTGAAAAAGGACACAATGAAAACAACCTTAATTTAAGCGCTGAATGTAATGGATATCAGCAGGGAGAAAAGTGTTCTCCCAATGGCCGGTTTTGTTTCCTATTACAAATCATTATCAGGATTTCTATTTTATGATCGCTAACAAATTTCTGGGTGCCGTTGGTTTAGTTCAAATGCACCTTATCGAGCGCGACAGTAATTTAGGAAGTTCCGTGTTCTGCTTCAGATATATGTTCCCTCGTGGAATATTATTTTTCAAGAAATGAGGCTTCCTCACAGGTCTCATGTTGCTTGTATCCCTGTATCCACTTTATTAGAAATATAGCCAGCAGTAGTTAAATTCAATTACGGTTAGAGAGTCCCGGATATCTCTATAAAACTTTACAAATTCGTAGGAGTCAGTGAGTCATATATTAAGGTCTTTTCCAGTGGTACTTTGTTGCTACTGAGCTTGAGGTAAGATGATTCAGAGACGCTCGAATATTGGATCTGGATTTAGGAAGGATTGGTTGATGGGATTAGTACCCCCTCCTGGCCTCTCAAACAATTTGTTCGGATTAATCAAGTTTGTAAATTTATGGCATACTGTAATACTGATTCATAGACGCTTGGAGATAAATTAAAGGTACATGACACATTTCTAAACCTCACATTCAGTTGTTGCGCTCAGTTCAAGTGCTTTGACTGCTTATTCAAACTAGGCTCTCGTGTTTTAATCAAATAACAGGTGTCACTGGGCTGATTGTTTTTCTTTTTTTCTATTTCTTTTTTTTTTCTTGTTTTGTTTTGTTTTTTCATCCCTTCATTCAAAGGATAATAATCAGAAGAAAACTGAAACACAGACCTAAGTACCGAATAGCATGGATATTTTTAACCTGATAACTAGACTAGTTAAGAAAGAGGGAAGGGTCTAAGGGGGAAATTCCATCCTCGAATGATTCCTTTAACAAATTTCTTTACTTTTTTTTTTCTTTGTGGACAATCTATCACGGAACGAATTTTCCGAAACCAATGCATGTCTTAAAGGACATTTCGAAGTCCAAGTGTTAATGCCGCTTTCTTAGGATAAGATGCGACAGCACCCACGCATTGAACTGCCTACTTTCAAGGTTGGATTCTGTTTAATATATTTGCCTCTTTTTTGTGCCGGCCTCATGTATTTTTTTAAACTTTAAAGATCGTATGCTCGTAAGACTGTTTTTAACAATCTCAACTTTTGTATTAAAAAGGATTTTACGTCAATTGTCGCCCATTTCTATATTAGCGCAGTCATTAGAGCGGTTATTTTCTTCGTGAATATAATAATTTCGGCAAGAGGAGAAGGAATTTCGTCCAT